TCTTTTAAAACCTAAAATCTCTTTTAAAATTCAGTCTTTCTATTGTGGACTCATGTAAAATCAAAAATAGGTTAAATATTTCCTTAGTTCAACAGGGAAATATCAGGGCACAGTCACAATCAGATAAAAGCAATGTCCAATACTGGGAGTCACTGGAGATCTTCTGGGCTCTTCCAAAGAGCTTGGGTCACTCCTCGAGCTCTGCCCTCTGCAGCACACACAGCTTGTCTTCCAAGTTCTGGGATGTTCCACTCCCATAAGCTGCTCTTTTCCTGTGGTTATCCCGTGGTACTGGCATCTCCAGAATGTTGAGGTCTTCTGCTGCAACTGAGCTGTGCTTTCACCACTAGTCTTCCAGACTCTCTTTACGGTACCAAGCCTCAATTTCTCTTCATGACCTCTTCAAACCGGGGCCTTCAACTGCCACTGAGGCTGCACCTCCACCAACGGCCTCTCATAGTGCCAAACTTCAGCTGCTCTCCATGACTCCTTCATGCCTTCAAAACCTGTAGCACCTGGGTGACTCTTACACTGCCAAGTTCTGCTGCCAGTGTGAGATACAAGCTTGGCCACCTATGAAACTGGCTAATCAGTCATGTTGCTTCCAGGCATGAAATAATAAGACGCTTATTGCACTTTTGTTTGGTCTGTATATAAGAATGAAGAAAAACCAAACAAAAGGCGAAAATGCTACATTGGATCCTAGCAAGAGAGAATCTCAGAAAGTGGTCCAATTTCCTGACTTAAGCAAACTTGAAACCCCTTGAATGAAGGGATGGCCAGGTCCCCCTGAGGAAGGAATTTGCTAAAATACCTAAGAGTTTTACTGTTAGTCTTTTTCCCATCCTTCCCCATAGTGACCTACTGCCTTTTACAAGGGTAACATTACACTGGGGGAAAGGAAACAATCAGACTTTTGGGGATCTATTGGATGCTGATTCAGAATTGGTAATGATTCCAGGAGACCCAAGGAAGCATTTGGCCCTTCAGTTAAAGTAGGGACTTATGGAAGCTAGGTAATTAATGGAGTTGAACCTGAATTCCAACTCATGGTAGGTTCAGTTGTTCCTGAACCCAATATGTAGTTATTCTCCCAGTTCTAGAATGTATATTTTTGGATAGATATGTGAAGAAGTCTGGAGAATTCAAAGTTTGGTTCCCTGACTTGAGTAGTAAGAGCTATTACAGTTAGAAAGACAAAAGAAAGCCATTGGAGCTGCCTCTACCAGTGAAAATGGTGAACCAAAGAAAATATCATAGTCTAGGAGGAATAGCAGAAATTAGTGCCACCCATCAAGAACTTGACAGTTTCGGGTCTTGAGGGTCCCTTTAACTCTTCTATTTGGCAAATACAGAAGACAAATATGTCATGAAGAAGACAGCTGCCTATTGAAAACATAATCAAAAGCGGCTCTGGTTGCAGTCACTGGAGCAGATGTGTGTCCTTACTTGAGCAGATTAACACATACACTGGTACATAGTCTGCAGAAACTGGTCTAGCAAATGCATTGGGGGTGGGTAATCTGTTCGTAAGGACCACCAGAAGCAATTTGCTTTCAGTTGGCAAGGCCAGCAGTATACCTTTGCAGTTTTATCTCAAGGTTGTTTTAATTTTTCATCCCTGTGTAACGACTTGGTTTGAAGTGTTCTCTATTGTCTATCTCTTTTAAAAAATATCACACTGGCCCACTATGTCAATAATGTTATGCTAATTGACCAAGTGAGTGGGAGGTAGCAATTACTTTGGACTTGTTGATAACATACATCCCCACCAGAGGATGGGAAATAAATCAAACCAAATTTCAAGGGCCTGCTACCTCAGTGAAACTTTTAGGAGTCCAGTGGTATTGTGCATGTAGAGATACTCTTTTTAAGGTATTAGAATTATTAGATATTCCTTCTAAGGGTATTATCTGACCCAAAAGACCATAAAGTAGGATGTGCACAGCAGAAGTCCATTATCAAATTGAAATGGTTTATGTGTGATATCATCTGAGAAGTTCTTAAAGGCACAAGCAACATGAAGAAGTTATGCAAATACCTATGGGTTTTCCTCTTGTTACAATGACTTCTGCTCCCAAGCATGTACCTATAGTCTTATGGGGTGTGCCCTATAGTCAGCTGGTTGAGGTAGAGAAGACTAGGGCCTGGTTTAGAAATAGTTCTAAACATTATGCAGGTATGACCCAGAAGTGGACAAGTGAATTACAATCTCTTTCTAGGATAACCCTGAAAGACACTGATGGAGGGAAATCTTTATAAAGGTAAGAACTTTAGGTTATACACAGGGTCATCCATTTTGCTTGGAAAGAGAAATGACCAGTTGTGCAAATATTCACCAGTTGATGGTCTTTAGCCAATGGGTTGCCTGAATGGTAAGAGAGTTAGAAAGAGCATGAGTAGAAATATTGTGAGAATGACATCTGGGGAAGAGATGTGTGGATAGATTTCTCCAAATTGGCTAAGGATATGAAGATACTGAGTCCCATGTAAATACTCATCAAAAGATAACTTCAACAGAGTACAAGTTCAATAACCAGATAAATAGGATGATCTGTTGTGTAGACAGTCAGCCTCTTTCCCAGACTACCTCTGTCACTGCCCAAATAAGCCCATTATCAAAGTGGCCCTTAGTGACAGAGATGGAGGATATGCATAGGCTCTACAACATGGACTTCTATTCACTTTATGTCTTGCATTGCTACAGCTACTTCTGTGTGCTAGAACTGCTAACGGCAGAGACAAATGCTGAAGCCCTGAATTGGCATATTTCCCCAGAATAACCAGTCAGGAATCTGGTGGTAGATTGACTACATTGGACCACTTCCTTCACGTAGAGGACAACACTTTATCCTATTGGAATACTTGGTTTTGTTATAGATTTGTCATTCATGCACATAATGCTTCTGCCAAAACTACCATTTGTGGACTTACACAATGCCTTTTCCACCATTATAGTATTCAACACAGTACTGCTTCTGATCAAGAAACTCACTTCACAGCCAAAGAAGTGCAATAATGTGCTCACAATCATGAAATCCACTGGCCTTACCATGTTCCCCAACATCCTGAATCAGCTGAGCTGATAGAACAATGGAAATGCCTTTTGAAGACATAATTATAGAGTCAATTAGTTGGCAGCAGTCTGGAGGGCTGTTAGTCAGGGTTCTTCAGAAGGCAATAAATGCTTTGAATCAGCATCCAATATATAGTATGGTTTTCCCCAGAATTAAGATTCAATGGTCCAGGAACCAAGGAGTACAAATGAAATAGTTCCACTCACTATCATCCCTATTAATCCCTAGGAAATTTTTTGTTTCCTGTTCCCATGACCTTAAGTTCTGCTGGCCTAAAAGCTTTGGTTCCAGAGAGGAGAGCACTTCTGTTAGGAGACACAACAAATACTTCATTGAACTAAAAGTTCAGACCTCATCATGGCCACTTTGGGCTTCTGATGCCCTTCATTCAACAGGCTAAGGAAGGAATAACAGTGGGAAAATTGGCAATAGATCCACATTACTAAGAAGAAATTGGGTTGCTTTCCCACAATAAGGTAAGAAGAATTATGTCTGTAGTGCAGGAGATATTTAGGACATCTCTTAGTGTCACTACCACATTTTGTAATTAAAGTCAATGGGAAACAACAATCTAATCCAAGCACAATGACAAAGAACCCAAACCCTTCAGGAATAAACAATTGGCTCATCCCTCCAAGAAAAAAAACAAGACCTCCCAAGGTGCTTGCTGAGGGTGGAGAAAATACAGAACTAGTATTACAGGTATGTAGTTTAAATATCATCTAAAACTCATGACCTGTTTTAGGAATGAGGATTATAATTTCTATGTTTCTGTCATATTCTGTTAAGAATGTGTTTGTACATATATTTATGTTTTCTTCCATTAATTACTTTATCATGTAATGCAACATCAATTAAGAGAATACCAGTGGTTATCATATTTAAATTTTAAGATACTAAAATGTACTTTAAGGGACATTGCCACCTATTCTAAAATATGTAAGGTATTTACAGTTGTACATGGGGTTTTTATATCATGTTTGATATAACTATGAACTAGTTAAACACATAACATGTTTGTGATTTTTGCATGGGATAGTTATATCATGTTATGCATAATTAGAATATGATTGTTGTTTTCATTTATGTCATGGAAATTCACTTATGTCATGGAAATTAAACATGACGTAAGTAGATACGATTGTGTGCAAAGATGACAAGGAGTGGATTTGTGATAGCTATTCTTGGTTGTCAACTTGAATACATGTAGAATTAAATAAACCCTCAAGTATATAAAGTATGTGTTATAGCTGTGAGGTATTTTTCTCATTTAAATCATTTGATATGGGAAGTTCCATCCTAAACCTGGATCTTTGAAGTAGGAAGATCCACTTTCAATCTGTTCCACACCCTCTGGTGGCAGCCTATATAGAGGACATAGAAAAAAGGAAGCACTTGCCACTTGCCCTCACTCTCACTGGAAAGTCCATTCCTCCCCTGGAATTAAAGCCCACTTCTACTCAAGACAAGCTGAGACATCCACCCTCATGAAATAAACAATTATTGGATTCCTGGACTTTCTACTGAGGGACAGCCATGTTGAATAGTCATATCATAACCTAATAACCTAATAAATCGCATATATATATATATACATATATTCTTTTTATTAGTTCTGTTTTCCTAGAGAACCCAGATGAATACATGGCCCTAATTTCAGGAGTACATAAAATACATATTTTTAAATGTCACTAACAATTTTTTTAAATGTGCATTTAGAATTAAGAACAGTGAGAATTTTTCTCTGAAATCATGCTAAATTTTACTCAGAAACTTGTTTTATGCAATTACTTTGCATTTAGGACAAGAGGTAAATTCTATAATTTAACCATTTATATCACAAACAAAGTTAATTTGCCTGATTCTAGAATTCCCTGGAGGCCCTTCATTCTAAGTCAATATGAAGCTCTTTCATGGAGATCCCTAGTTTTTCCCAGGATTTACATGGCGCTTTGTCAATTTCCTCAAGGCTGATTTAACATCTTCATTCCTCAGAGAATAAATGACAGGATTCAGTAAGGGAGTACAAATGGTGTAGAAGACAGAAAGGAACTTATCCACAGACAGCCTGCTAAAAGGCCATATGTAGAAGTAAATACAAGGCCCAAAGAAAAGAATCACTACTGTGATGTGGGCAGTTAGTGTAGAAAGTGCTTTGGATGACCCACTAGAGGACTGGTGCTGGACAGTGACAAAAATGATGATATAGGAGACAATTAAAGCCAGGAAACAGCTCAAAGATATCAGGCCACTGTTAGCCAAGGTCAAAATTTCCATTCTGTATGTATCCATGCAAGCAAGTTTTATCACCAAGGGAAGATCACAGAAGAAGCTATCTACCTCATTGGGACCGCAGAATGGCAGATTCACTGTAAATGCCAAGTGGCTCACAGAATGAAGAATACCTACTGCCCAGGAAATAGACACAAAAATTATACATACCCTCCGATTCATAATTAGATTGTAGTGCAGTGGCTTACATATTGCTACAAACCTGTCATAGCCCATAGCTACGAGCAACATCATTTCACTCCCAACAAAGCTATGAAGAAGAAATATCTGGGCCATACAACCCTCAAAGGAAATAGTTTTAAGCTCAACAAAAAAGTCCACAAGCATCTTAGGAGTAGCAAAGTTAGATTGGCAGATATCAATGAATGAAAGGTTACTGAGTAAGAAGTACATAGGTGAGTTCAAATGTGAGTCAGAGAAAATGATGACAATAATCATGGCATTGCCCAAGACTGATGTCACATAGATAATAGAGAAGATGGTAAAAAGTAAAAGCTGAAGTCCCCAAGAGTTAGAAAGTCCCAGAAGCACAAACTCAGATACCGTGGATTCATTACTGTGAGCCATGTATCCAATGTAAAGTCACCTAAATGAAAATCAAGAAAATATTACCATCAATGGCACTGAAATATACCTCATTCATAAAGAAAATTATGGTGTGCTTTCAAGTGTATCAATTTAATTTGATGATGCATATATGGAAATGGAGTATAAAGTGAGAAACAAGTATAATTACATATGTATAATATAATGAGAAAAAATACAATTTATAAATTTTATCTTAAGGTTTTGCTTTGTTTTTGGCATTTTGGTTAGCATAATTTATAAGTGTAATAATGAATCCTTCAGAAGACTTTAAGAAGTTGGGAACAATAATTAAAAATAAACTAAATATTGTATACATATTAGAGAATGAAGGAATTGGAAAGCAGGAAACAAACAGTTTATTAACTTCTCACCATCTTTACTAAAATCAAGAAAATATTACCATCACCAAAATGTGAAATACCAACATAATTCCATTTCAGTGTGTAAAATAAACAGCATTTAGTTAGTGGTGAGGAAAGACAAAGAATTCAGATTAATAATGTTGATCATGGTGAGGGGGTGAACAAGAAGAACAGGAACAGAAGGAAGAAGGAGAATATACTGTGATGTGCTTACACATGTTAATCATTTAGCGTCATTTTTTGCTAGACTCAACCAACACAGTGTGTTTGTTCAGCCTTACAACCGTATACACACACAACCAAAAATGAACTCAAAAGATTGCATTTATATACATTTGTACAAATGCACACGTGTGTGTGTGTGTGTGTGTGTGTGTGTGTGTGTGTGTGTGTGTGTGTGTGTGTTGTCTAACAACGGTCAGATAAAAAGAGGCTGGCAAATTGAAAGTAGTGGGGGACATGGGATAGGTTTAACAAGACTACCTGGGAGTGGCTGGAGACAGGAAAGCGGGGCGGGGGGGGTGGGGGGTGATGAAATCCTATTTAGTTGAAAATGTATTTTTTTAAAAAAAAAGACTCATTTTTTATTTCAAGAATTCTATTTTTTGATAGGTTTTAGTCTTCATGTTTTAAAAAGTGTAATAAAAAACGGGAAAATCCTGTTCACAGTCTCCTATAATTTCATAATTTAAGGAGAATAGTTTAGATTCAATGTTTAATCTCATTTTCTTCCTAATAACTAAGTTTCCCACTAGTAAAGATTAATAAAATTTCCCATTTGCAAATTATGTTATTGCACAAACAATTAAATGTCCCTCAAATTATTTTCAATTCTAGAATTTCTAAATGCAAAGGAATTATATTATGGTATCATGTAGAATTTATGTCTTTATATACAGAACACTTATAAACTTTTTAAAATAAATCTTCTACTGCTGCTGTACCTCAGAAAGAAGTATTTTCAGATTTCTAAATATCTCATAGGAGAACCATTTTGGATGAAAGATTGTTAGTTACATAAAAATATTTATTATTTCAGCATTACCTAAAAACTGTGGCATTCAAACTCTGAAACCATAGATATGCACAATTGTATTTGTCTTTATTTTAACACATAGTATTTGTCTCACTACTCACTATAAGCCTTCAAGCAAAACTTGCTATCACTTTGTTAGTAATTCCATTCTTCAGGAAAGGCAAATTTTAATAGTCAAAAAATATTTGTCCATTTAATGAGTAAATACTCTCTAGATAGAAAGCCTGAAAAAGGTGCCCAGGAGCAGATGATGATTGTAACACAGTTCCCTGTGTTTATCAGATTCTGACCCAAATCCTTAAAGGATTACCCCAAACCAGTACAGCTGGAATCATCAAGACAGAAAAAAGAAGAAAGAGAATTTCCCTCTGTTGGACAGAATTTCCAACCAGACTGAGACAACAACTTCTTTCTCATCTTTCAGTTGCTGATTTTTTCATTGAAAATGTTTATTAATTATATCTGTAAACATATACTCATAATCCATGTTTAGTACTTACAGTTTTAATTTTTTATTTTTGTTTACTTTCACCAAGTTTAGTATTCTTTAGTTTGTATGTATCATCTCATATTCTCCTATGAGTCTTCATGTTGCAAGTATCTGTAATACAGTTTTAACTTGATTCTGCTCTCCTGATGTCAACCACACAACTCCAACAGCCTAAGGCAGTGTAATACAACAATTTATATGTTTGCCACAGAAAGCTACTTTCACTGGGAAAGAAACATGCCTCTAGAGACATGTGGTAATCCATAAGCAAGAGTAACTGTGTTTCCTGAAATAATTTTTATGGGAATAAAAATATTGTAATTTTTCTGGTTATTGTAATCAGGTAATAGGTAAACATGAAATCCAGAGATTGCTTGGTATTTACAGATTAAGTCAGAGAAATTATTTTTCAGCCTCTAACTTTCTGTCAATAAGTGACCATAATTGCTTTAGGGTAGTGTCTGTCAATAAAAAGGAGCTCACTACTTCAAAAAAACGGTTAAATTTATTGTCTAATCCTATCATCTGTATTAGAAATCCAAAACTATCCTCCCTTAAAAAATGATTCCTCAAGCATTTAGGCTTTCTCAATTTTTCTCCATATATCAATAATCTTTTCACTGTGTTTTAGATAAGCTGTCCAGATCACCAAATATTCTGATATATATTTCATTTTTAAGTAATAAAATTGAAAATAAGATTGCCTATTTATACTTGTTTATTTAGTGTGTACACATATACATATGCACTCAAGAAAAAATACTAAAATACATAAGAATGGACCAACAATAAAAGATGTTATATAATTAGGTAAATATAATCTTGGTTGGGTTTCATGCTGTCTTGTTCCTAAAGATTCAGTTAATTTTCTAAGATTTTTTTCTGCAAAATTTTCATCAACATGTTTAATAATAAATTATTCTGAAATTTACTTTCAGTTTAATTTGATTGAAATAATTCATTCCGCTTTTAAAACAATCATGTTCAAGTAGTCTTCAAAATGCATCAATTATAAAAGAGTGATATTGGAAAAACATAAATTTAAGACTAGAGAAATACAATAATTTAAAACTGTTAGAAAATTCAATGTCTGAAATGATCCCTGAACCAAAAGTAAAATAAAATGTAGACTATTCGAGGGAAAATGGTATCATTACATTTGGATTTTTCCAAACAAAATAGACACACTTATGAAAAAAAGTATAATATATTTACAGGAGTGATGCAAATTCTAAACAGTATAAAGTCCAGTTCAACAATGGCAAAGCACAATGGTAACTTTAGTATTTACTCTTTTAAAATTTTATTCCCTATTCTTTTCTATCTTGAATATTTAACCTTGAATGTGAACTTCAAAAATAGAAATAATGTACTTTTAAATAAAATATCTATAAAGCTCAAATAAAGAAAAATAGATAACATTCAAAATAGATATAAATGATAAAATATAGAGTATCTTAAAGAGTCAGTCATCAATATACAAGTAGTAACAAATGAATTTTTTTCATTACTATCATTTTAAAGAACACTAAAAGTCATAGGAAGTTATATATTTTAAAACAAACAGCTTCAATTAATGATTAAATATTTTTTAGTCAACTAACTTTTTTAATTTATGATATTTTTATATTTTACATACCAACCGCAGATCCCCCTCTCATCCCTCCTCCTGCTCCCCCTCCCCAGCCCAGCCCCCATCTTCTCCTCCAAAGGGATAAGGCCTCCCATGGCAAGTCAGCAAAGCCATGGTATATTCAGTTGAGGCAGGATCAAGCCCCTCCCCCCGGAATCAAGGATGGGAAAGATGTTCAACCATAGGTAATGAGCTCCAGAAAGCCAGTTCATGAACCAGGAATAGATCCTGATCCCACTGCCAGGGGATCCTCAAACAGACCACGAAATCAGATTGGTGGATACCCTAACTGTCATCATAGAGCCTTCATCCAGCAACTGATAGAAGCAGATGCAGACAGAGATCCACAGCCAAACACCAGGCTGAGCTCCGGGAGTCCAATCAAAGAGAAGGAAGTGGGATTATATGAGCAAGGGAGGTTAAGATCATGATTGGGAAATCTACAAAGACAATTGAACCAAGCTCATAGGAACTCATGAACTTTAGACCAATAGCTGTGTAACCTGCATCGGATCAGACTACACCCTCTGCATACAGGAGAAAGCTGTGTAGATTAAATGTTTTTAAGACAAACAATAGAGATGTAAATATAATACATCTTCTTTAAGAAAATAGTAGAATTATTTTTTAGAAACTGTATCAGCTAAGCTGTGATACTTATCTCTGTTGTTAACTTCACTGCAGCTGGAATCAGTGAAATGCAAAAGGCTGAACACACGTGTTAGGGACTTTCTTAATGGATCATTGGAGGTGGGAAGACTGATACTAAATCTGTGCTACACATTATGGTGGCAGTCCACACACACACACACACACACACACACACACGTACACACTCACGCACGCACAAAGAAAGCTTTTGCTTTTCCTCTGTTTGCCTTCATTCCTGTTGGCAAGATCATATATTCTATACCAGGGTGTCCCTTCCCTGATATTAGAACCTAATTCTTTGGGATTCCAACATAGATTGAAGACCAACAGCTCTCAAGGACTCTTCCAGGATGCCAGCCAGATTGGAACTACTGAGACATCCAGCCCTGGGTGCTAAAAACTGATCCTTGCTTGGCCTTCCAATCTGAAGAAAACCATTGTTGGTCTAACCAATGGTAACTGCACACTGGGAAGAAAGAGGAAAGTCAGACTTATGGTTCTCAATTGACACTGGTCCCAGAAACTGCAAATAGCACTGTTGCCCTCTGGAGCTTATGTAGGAGCTTATGTAGTTAAGTGATTAATGGAACTTTGACTGAAGTCTTACATTGGACCAGTAGGTCCTCAAACTCACTCCTTGGTTATTTCCCAGGGTCCAGAATGTATAATTGGGATAGAAAACTCAGAGGTTGGAAATTTTCTCACATTGTTTTCCTAACCTGTCAAGTGATAGGTATTATGATTGGAAAAGTTAAATGAAAGATATTGGCATTACCTTTACAAAGGAAAACAGTGAAGCAAAAAAAA